CATACCTTAGCGGGTCCGTCCCTCATCTTCTTCATCTGGTCCTTGTATTTGACGAGTTCTGCGTCCAATCGGGCGATCTTCTTGTCGACCGACTCGGCCCTACTGTCCACCTGTGCTGACACACCATGGAGTGAGTGATGGTCTCATTGGCAGTAATGCATACATACATTGGCGATACAGTCGGTGAGGTTAGGTGGGGGCGCCTTAGGTGTACCCCTTCCGAACAGACGGTTCATTGTCCACAAAGATATCTACCGCAGGGTTTCACCACAACTACAGATCAGGTGTCACTTGAATGACCAAACAGTGGATGTATTGTGTGTTAATAGCAATGAGTGTATGAAATGCTATTAATTGTAATCTTTGTGGTGATCACTGATAATGAGTTGATTTCTATTGTCAAAGCAATCGCTCAACAAATGAGTCAATCGTTGTGTTATTTACTTAACAAATGAGTGAATCTATTGCTCAATACATACATCAATGACGACCACAAGTGAAACCATTTCACATGAAATACAAACTTTGATGAGTTCTCAAAGTTTACAAGTTTGGACAATTTGTGTGATTAGATTCACTTTAATTGCCATTTAGGTGACCACTAATCTAATATATTGTTGTTGTGTTGGAGTTTATTTTTAAACATTTCTGTCAAATGATAATTTAATAGAAATTAATGATTTATTTGTTACCATTCCTTATAATAATTGCATCTAGGCTATTATAATTCTATATTTCATTTGGAATTGTTTCTAAGATTTTTAATTTTAAAAATCTGATAACCGGCTAAACATTTACTTCATATTTCCAGTAATCCAATGTTTTTGTATTACAAAATATTTCCATAATTTGTTAATAAATATTTGAAAACAAAAAACGATTTATACAAAATTATAATTTTCATTTTAATACAATGTTTAATAAAATAGTGACAAAATTAATGCTTATTTTCCCCTAAATTCAAAAACAATTTATTATATACATAAAGGATTTATAATACACAAATCAATCTTATATTCAATTTTGAAAACTATTATAGATTTGAAAAATAATATTTTTATTTAAATAAATCATAAAAGCTATTAAAACAATAAGCCTTAAATCATAGATAGAAAAAAATATAACACAAAATACAGTTACATTTTTTGCATTTTAAACCCTAATCTCGTTATATAATCTGAAAATTTTCATTTTTATATCATTTATTTTACTTATTCTCTCAAAGGATTTAAATTAAAAATTCAAATCAATATCTATTCTCATGTCATTCAAGAATTTTCATTAATATCATGTTATGACTTACAAAACATTCACATTTGATTTCTCATTCATTTAAAAAGCGTTAATTAAATTGAATCAATCGATAAATCATTTTGGAAAATGCATATAAAAAAGTATTTCCATTTGTAAGTTAAACCAGAAAGTGGCTACAAATCTCAAATGGGAACACCACCGAGCATTCAAGTGGTTATACGAGTCCATTGAGCCGTATCTCAATGAGTGCAACAAAAAAGACAACTGTCCGGCACTCCATCAATACTACTACTACACAATACTTTCACTNTAGCATTCGCCGGACTCAGTCTTACTCATCTGCCAGCCCTCGGGCATTGGGATCGAGTCGATGTCGTACGAGTAGTTCCGCATATGAATGGGCTGTTGGCCCGAAGCCATGGCCGCAGACACGGCTAGAGTCTGCTGAAGAGACGCCGGAGACGAGTGGGCTCTCGGATGGCATATCGTGAGACCAGTCGGGAGGGCAGACATCTGCTGCTGAAGGGTCTGCTGTTGCGGTGACGCCGGACTGAGCGGCGAACCCGTGGCGGACGGCTGCGAGAGAGGGGGCGAGAAGGAGGCGTCGAGACTGGACTCGCGTGAGTGGGAGGCGCTGTGGGCGCCGTCGGGCGGCTTGAAGAAGGAGGCCGGGAGGTTGCGCTGACGCATTGGCACCGATAGCGGGATAAACGAGTCCTTCGGGTTGGACACCGCTTTGAACAGCTCGTCCAAGTCGTTCGCGCCGCTGTTGTTGATCCGCAGGATCTGGTGGTTACCACCGTTGCTGTCACCTCCTGATGACATCTTCGGATCGCTTATCTTATAGTGTTTTACCACGAGATTAGACAATTGCTATTCAATTGTGGGTGAAATTGGCGTAACAAAACTATATAACAATATGTCTTAACATTTGTTGAGTGATTATTAATGATTATTATAACAGTTATTATGATTATTATGAATATAATTATTATTATAACAAATGTATAGAAAAATAAATATAAATACAAATCAATGAAAACACGAAAGCATTGATTGAGTGGACAATCGATGAGTGAATGTATTGTCAAACGAATGCAATACTAATGCAATGGAGTCCAGAGTTAGCGCATGCGTATGACATCAATGCATATGATATGCTGTCATCACAACAAAGACACCACCAGTGGATCCGATCGACGATATAGTCTTCAAATAGGCTGTTATGGCATCACAGCAAAGGCACTGAAGGTCTCACTGACACTCAATCCACAAGTCAATGGTTACGACACTAATGAGCACTGTTAGCCAATCAATGGGTGTGTGTCTGTGTCTTGTGATCAGTGGTGACACTGTTTTGCACTCACGAGTAGTCAGTGAGATAGGGATGTGATGGACACACAATCACTATAAGCCATATAAGAGTAGGTCCAGTGATATGATGGCTTCGTGTGATATACTTATGTATTGATAGTGTTGTGTCTGTGGTGTACGTATTGAGTGGTGTCTGACACCCAAAGCTAACCTAACAATTGATATGAACTAACTTTCACTTCACTATTGACTTGTTGTGAACCCAACACAACAACTCTTATGCCTATGTTTTGCATGTATTGCTTGTTGAGCAGTGTTTTGGCTCAAAAATCGCAACCATTGGCGTATGTGTTGCCACCCTATCTGAGCCATCCCTCTCCCATACCATACTCTCCCCCTAAACAGGTATTGCGTGTCTCTCTCACCACACATACACTTCTCGCTAAAGTTAGCAAATGAGCCGTACATTCAAATTGCTACACAACCAGAGGTTACATCTATTTTGTCACATATTCTCGCTTTTTATGGATTCATCTATGAATTCATGAGTTAATTGTTCGCCAAATATACTAAATATACACACCTTTCGTGAATTTAATAATGCATTCATTTTATAAGAACTCCCATTACTGTTATCAAGAACAATATACTGTATTCATACTATACAAGTGCATACATATCAAATAAGGTTACACTCAAATTTAGTTGACAAGTCAAACTAATGGTCCATTAGTGGGTGACAAGTGGTCAGTGTGTTGACCCATTATATGCCACTAAAATAACCCTTCACCTCATTTTCCTGGAATACATTTTCCATATTTTCTTATATTAGTTCCTAGAATTGGTTGCATTCATGAATGAAATACCATTTTCTCACTCTTTAAACAAATTGTGTATCAAATAAATGAGCATAATACTATACATATGTACATAATACTATACTGTATGTGTATTCAACAAATTGCCAGCTAAACTTTAATTAACCAAACAACTAAAATTACTTTTCTTTTTTATTATTGTAATTTTCACCACATTTGTAGATAAAGGGGTTATAATGAGTGAAAGTATTGTGTAGTAGTAGTGATGGAGTGCCGGACAGTTGTCTTTTTTGTTGCACTCATTGAGATACGGCTCAATGGACTCGTATAACCACTTGAATGCTCGGTGGTGTTCCCATTTGAGATTTGTAGCCACTTTCTGGTTGAACTTACAAATGGAAATACTTTTTTGTATGCATTTTCCAAAATGATTTATCGATTGATTCAATTTAATTAACGCTTTTTAAATGAATGAGAAATCAAATGTGAATGTTTTGTAAGTCATAACATGATATTAATGAAAATTCTTGAATGACA